GTTCTGCTGCCTTGGCCTGGGACTTCTGGTCTCCAGAACTATAAGAAATAAATGTTTGTGTTGTAAATCGACTACACTTCAATAAAAAAATAAGAATCAAAAAAAGGAATAAATGTTGGTTGTTTATAAGCTACCGAGTCTGTGATATTTTGTTACAGGCCCCCGTGGACTAAGGCAACCCCCACCCCCAGGAATTTCTCAAGGAAAATAACCAATCAACCAACTAACAATCAATTCAGTAGTTGGAGGCAGATTGGAGTCACGTGTCTACAAGCCAGGGGACACCAAGGAGTGCTGCCAACCCCCACAAGCTTGGGAGAGACAGGGAAGCCCAGATCAGTGACTGGGAAAACAAAGTGCAGTATACATATCGAAGCACAGAGTAAAGCCATACAGAAGCGGCAATCATGAAAGGCAAAGTAAGAGACCTGGAGCCTAGATGCAAGAGATAAAGCACGGAGAATGGGACAGCGAAAGGAGCAAACGGCACAGACAAAGGAGAAGCAACCGTTACACACTTGAAGACACTTTGAAGGGAGATCTGATTCTAGAGATTAGAATTGCTCCTCAAGTTCCAGACTGGGCTGAAGACGGAGGACACCCATCTGACATCACCTGACATCATTTTTGAACTCTGAGGAGGGAAAGAAAGAAAAAGACAGCTGGGCATCAAACTTGTCGCTGCCACAGTGGACGCTAGAGGGCAGGAGACCAGCAGCTGCAGGTTTCGGAGAGGAGAGAAGGGCGATGGAGACCCTGTCGCTGGAGCTAAGCACCCTCTTCCCACCAGGATAACAGACCATCTCACCTGAGGAGAAGGATCAAACAGGACCAACCCCGATAAGAAAGGAGATGAGGAGAGGAAGTCTAAATTATAGTAATATATAACATATATTATATAATTTGTTATATATTATATATATAACTAGATAGAAAATTAAAAATTTTAAATAATTACAAGATATAGAAATAGAATAAATCTTACCCCTTAAAAATAATGACTACTAGATTAGATCAGAAAAATGCCCAAAACCTAAGTATGTATTATATAAGAAACATATTTAAAGTGATAAAGATGAAATATAGTTGGGTCAAAGAGATAACAGGCAAATATAAACAACAAGACAACTTATTGTGGGTGAGAATGGAAAAGATGAATGCTCTATCACTGAACAAAGCACCTGAACAAATGAATTTACAGATGAGTTTTATGTAATCATTAAGGTAATGTCAATGCTATTTATACACTCCCAGGTCATTTACAGTGGAAATTCTCCCCAGTTCATCTTATAAACCTAGTAAAAATTTGATAGCAAAACCCAACACAGACAGTACAAAAAGTTGTGGAACATAGATACAAAAATTCTAAATAAAATGCTACTAAATAGAATCCAGCAGTGTATCAAGAGATAATATACCAAGTAAGGTTTGTTTCTGAAACACAAATGTGGTTCAGTATCAGAAATTTATCAGACTTTAAAACTTAACTTAGTTTGTTACATCAAGAAAATAAAGAATGACAACGAATCAAATCAATAGGTGATGTTAAGTTACTTTATAAAATTCAGTAGCCATTCCTAAGAAAACCTCTAAATCAGAACAGGAAGAAACTAATAAGAGTATTTACAAAAACCAATAACTAATATATAATAATACTAATCTTGCAGGCAAAAAAAATTTTGATTATAGTCAGGGATTAGGTAGGGATGTCCTTTCTTACCATAACTGGATAACTTTGCCTTGGAGGTTATAACAGGTGTAGTTAAATAACAGAAAAGCGAAATAACACGCATAAGTTGATATAAACATTGGAAGATAAGAAAACTAGATGTAGTTATTGGATGTAATATAAATATTGAAAAAATAATGGCTTTTCTTACTATGTAAATACACACAAAAATGAAAGTAGAAAAATTTCCATTCACAGTAGTTTCAAGACATAGAATATTTAAAAATGAATTCAACTAAAAAATTTAAAAAGTATAGGATCTACACATGAAACAAAATCTACACAAGTGGAAAGACATATAATGGTCTTAGATGCAAAGTCAATATAGTAGAGTCTCAAAATTAATAAATAAATTTAATACAGTTCAAATTAGAATCCCACCTAGGTTTTTAGGGGAAGACCAAATCACTAAGGGGAATGTGAAAAATAACAATGAGGGAGAACTTACCATGGTCTCAGATTGCTAGGTTGTTCATATAAGGATAGAACAAGTAGTGGAACTGATGAAAGAATCTAAAAATAGATCTCAGTATATATGTGAATTTAATAAATGACAAAGAGGTAGTACCTTATGGTGTATTCCCTAGCAAGTGAATTAACTGATTGATCTGAGGAGCAAAGTTCTTTGACCATAATTTTTTTTCACATTTTTTCTCTGTGATTTATCATAACATTTTGTGTATATTTCCCTGTGCTA